TTGGTGCATAAATCCAGCACTCTCAGTGGGCTGTCAAGGGGGGGGGGGTTGGAAAAGGAGCTATGCACTGAAGGCAATAGCTTAGATGCACGAGCGCCATTGAGGGCGCGACTGGGCCATATCTGACAATGTTTCTAGTCATTGATGTGGCCCGTCTCGGGGTCCCCATTCAGGAATAAGAAACATGGGATATGAAAACTTTCATTTCCTGAGACCCAATCTATACCACACAGTATTGTGACGATTCAATAGGGTTATTATTTAGGGCTATTATTTAAAATTATTACTTTTTTCGTTAGGTCGTCCATATGTTGCGAGAGGCACCCAAGCCAAAGCTCTTCCCATAAAAGAGTGATTCGCTGAAGTTCCGAAACAAAGGTCTCCACCTGCCGCACCATTTCCGAGAAACCAGCACTTTTGAGAGCTGCAATAATCTGGATGAAACAACATTCGGAGCCAGAAGACGGTTGCGGTGATGAACCATGGACCACATCGGCAGCAGCATTGACGAGTCCTAAAAGGGTAAGAAATATTTGCATAAAAACCGGACATACGTAGCCGCGTTAACCTCGAAGTGAAATGTTTATTTTAAATGGAAAAGTAAAGGTACGTTAGGTTCGCCGCACGAAAACGCAAGTTTTCGGTCGTCGAGTATACTACGCTGATTGACACTACGATTCCCTACTGTGAAGCTGTTAGCCGTGACGTGACCAGTCGAGCAAACTGGATACAGTCCTCCCTTTGAGACTCCCTGTACAGAGTTGAGTATCTTCATCGGTGGTCCCAATAGCAATCTGGGAGTCACGAATGAATCCCAGCAACTCACTAGATAATCCCGGGTGTTTGGTCACACCCATTTCAGATGGCTCAGTGTTTAGAGAGCGAATTTACTGACCGGTGGGTCCGTGACTGGAACCCGACCTCTGCCTTTCGACTTTTCCTGTCTAGGCTTGGGCAACCTGGCAACATCCCAGCCCTCGTGCTTCCTATGGATGGGCATGGGAGCTAGGCACTGGAAGCGTGCTGCCGCTGAGCGATTTTGAATGAACGTTGATAGAACCACTGTGATAGATAACTCATTGGACCGGCCAAAACAGAATGGGTTGTGTTCGAGGGCACGGTTACCATCATCTATTTTCACAGATGGTCAATCTCTAAGATAAACTCAAATAGTTGAACCAAAAAAAGTGTTAAGTTCAGGAAAATTAGCGTGATAGAAATGAATTAGGTTACGTGTATTCTAGAGATAAAGTTATGCTTTGTCTAGGTTGCAGATCGCACGAAGACAACGATGAAGACCACTCGGTGTCTGTTGTAGCTGAGTTCTCTGACTGGCGCTGTCGAGAGCTTAGAAAGTTCAGGAACTACGATGGACAGTTAGGGAGGGACCAAACAACCAGACTTACACATTGACGATGAACACGGTAGAGAATCCTCGGTAAAAGGTAACTGAATAAAAGTAACCTCTCCAGGGGGATAGTAATGTTCTAAGTTTGTAAGTAAGTATTCTCCATCTAATCGAATCACCTGTTCCACCACACGAACTTGTGGGCGAGTCAGTTTAAGTGGTTGAAGATATGGGAAAATGTGACATATCTAGCTACCGGATAAACGACCGTCAAGTTGGAACCGAAGCCACCTGTCTGAACTTGATATTGTTTGCAACCGGGCTGATTTGAAATTCACTTCACATCCTAGTGCTTTTATTGTTTTAACCCTTGTAAGCAATGATAAGACTCACCCAAACGAATATCTCAAATTATTTTAGACAAGGTAGCCATATAGATAGCCATATGGCTTTTAATGACCTGGGTAATGTTTCAAAAAGCATAAATAAATAAATTAGTGATGTTGGCATACTGCGAGATAACTTACTACGCACATCGATGGAGAAGGGCCACCTTAGTTTTGTGAAACTATTTGAAAGCATTGGTGACATTTTTACATCTCGAGAATTCCTTATGGACGCGATTGTGTTGAAAGCCGGCGCACTTCAGGGGCCTCCACCATGCGGCGACAAGAATCATTCAACCGACGTAAGACGTACAAAAGTGCATCAAAGTATGATTAAAATTTCGACAAATATACTCACTTGCACACGAGTTTGGTCTTGACAGGAGACTCAACTGAATCCAGTTGAATCTCTTGTTTATGATGATCCGTTTCAACTTGTTGCCAATCCACCTCATGCTTCAGTTGATACGATATTCAAGATATCGCAATGCACTACCTAGATGTAACACGCCGAAAATTCCTCCACAGCTCATGACTAGTTTTTAATGGAGCTCATCAGGTAGGCACGGTCCCCGAGTTTCCGCTAAATCTATTCTCCATAAGTCAAAATTGGACGCATTTTGACAAACTCTCATTTGCACACTAACTTGGTTTTGTCAGCGGACTTAGCTGGATCTTTCGTTTATGATGGCAAACTTCAACTGAGTTTGCTGCCCCAACACTACATGAGAGCCGGAGGTGCAACTTTCTTTGACGGAACGATGCACAGGGAGTACAACCCGGCCGGAAGATATAGCCCAGAAGTTAGCCTCATGTCCTACAGTATATGGGCTGTGAATTATAGCTCTCTGACGAGCCTACGTGCCAAACGACGGGATTACTTACGTAGAAGTCACCGAGAGTACAGTGTGAAAGCACGACCAACCGGACGACAACCTATACTGAAGGCATTTCGCACTGTTCTTTGTCCCTTATTTGCAGGACACACGGGAGCATAGACAAATTAACTCACGAGGCGATAAAGGACGGATACACATGATTGCACCCCTGTTATCCGTTCTCTAGTGACGATATCCACTATCATTTGGGGCAAATCAGAAGGAAAACTCCATCCATCTACCATACCAGTTGGTTTCTACCTTTGGTGCTCAAAGTCCGTCTCCCAAAAGAGAACATCTAAAAGAAGGGGGCAGTTTTGGCAGGCTCTGATGGCACGGGCTCTTCGCTAGTCACCACCGATGACGCTGTCTATGGTTGCAATAGTTGTCCGAGGTCGGAGCTCTAAGGCCTTTTACGAGCAAGTATTGCGTTGCCAAGCAATACTGGGTATCATGCTACTCTTTTGGGCTAATAATAATAAGTAATTGTTCAGCTGCAACATCCTTTCGACGCCCAGCTGCCACGAGCCCGGAGGGAAACACTAGGGTTAAGATACTACCAGCTGTCCAAGCCTGGGCAGGAGCAGCCAAAATGCGGATGTGAGCTGGAACAACGAATCTGTAGGTTAGTGGGCTTGCGCCCTAACCACTGGATGGAGAAATCTAAAATCAACACTTGGGTTAAATCTATCGAAATCACAAAGAGGATTGGCATCATAGACAAGAACATACAACAACTACGTGTACCGCACACTGATGAACGACTGATCAGCGAAACTTGTCTTGCGATCAAAAGTTGCCAAGCAAAGGCACGAACAGCAAAGAAACTTGAGCTGCACATACGTTTATCGTCCAGAAATTTCGAGTTTCTGCTGTTGTGAGCATCCAAAGAGGCTACAGCTGCGGGAAACACCAAATGAGCAGCGAAACGAAGAGAGGGGGAGAGCAAGCGACTGCGGTCCGCGTTTTCCGTTAGAAGCAGACGGGTAAGCAAAGCAACCAGGCAGTTTTGCGCTATTGGATCAGGAAGACTGAATCGTACCAACACGTGGTGCAAACAGGCCTCCCAAATGGCCGGTCCACCCAACGTAGTGCCAATGCGTGCAGGGACGAAGGTGGCCACTCGGTGCGCCGATGCACGACCACTGCGTGGCGTGGCAGAAGCTGTGTCTGTTGTACAAGGAGTGTGTATGTCGAATGAATGGGTGGCCGGTCCACCATTCATTAGGAAGCCGGCAACGAGATTGCGTAACGCACGACTGGGGGCGGACAAGAAGTCCAGTAGTTTCAACGTAGCTGAAATAGGACCAGTGAAATGCAGAAAGGGAATCAAGTTGTTTCGGACATTCCGTCAAATATAGTTTACTAACCCATCCTCATTATGACTCGATGGTGCCCACAGGGTGTGCTGGATAACCTAAAAAATATCATATGGGCCTAATGACAACGGCATGGTAAACGTTACGTCGTCAAGGTGGGTTTCATATGTCACGAGAACTGGTAGGCAGTCAGTAATACCGAAAGGAAATGCAAACCGTGTAACGGTCACCTTAAACCAGGAGACTCTGATTCCCCACGCGATGCATTTTGATGTACATGAGCTAGAGAACCAAATTCGAATAGATACCGCACACACAAAGTGGAGGGATGAGAACCAACGACCGTTCCGGCGGTCCTGTTCTCTAGATCGTCTCCGTTAGCTTATAGCTTGTACCTGGTTTTGCTAGGGCTAGAATTCATCATGGAACAAAAACCATGCGGCGCCAGAGACATCACTCGTATGTTGTAACTCCAAAATGATTGTTAACCGAAAACAAAAATGATTTACATAAAAAAATGACTCGTAAACAGAAAACAAAATGATTTACATAAAAGATAGGATTATGACTATTTTGAAACCGGTCACCTAGTTGGACCTAATCGCCGACGTCACAGATAGCAGATGACTCCAACTATGAAGGCCCATTCCTAGAAACGCGCTACTAATCTGCGTTCTCTTCGCACTATCTATGCCTTGTTTTCGCCATCGGCATCAATGTGAAAAGCGATGGCAGGGTTGGCGTCACAATGGTCGGAATCCAAGTTGCCGAATCAAGTTTCTGATACACATACTGCGGGACACCAATTTATCTTGACCCCTAGCACGAGTTCGCCAAACTCAATTATTCATTACTACTCCACACTTATTATGGACTAGTTGCTCTGATGTCTGTCGCATTCCGATGAAGTTGCTGGAACTTGCGCTAAACCGGTTTGATGGGACGAAATGACAATCAAAGCTAACGATGGAGGAACCATAAACAAATGATCCTCTGAAAATTATGTATCTCGAATGACACACCCAGCAAACCTTTTCATGTTCTCCTGCAATGCTGACGATTTCATCCCTTGAGGATACTGAAAGTTACACGCATTACGTGCTTTAACCTCATGTAACGAGGTTGGCGGGTGGGTAGCATTGACGTAAATGCGAGATTTTTCATCTCGAATTCCGTTGTGTAAGGATCATGTGAAAGCGCAAAATCTTCCACTGGGACAATAAGACCGAGTTCAAACTGTGTAATGCGATTACGATGAAATTTTGAAGCGAATAAATACATAATTCTTGCATTTAGGTTTTGAATATAAATGACGGAAATCAGGCTGTTTATCACCTCCAGTTAAAGTGATTAGTCGGAATCATAGGAGAAAGCTATTGTAATGAACGTATTCCTAAGCAAGATGAAAGAATGTAAACGGAATGTTGGGTGATGAAGGAAAGATATAACCATTCACCCCCCAAAAAACAGTGATTTGAAGCAGACAGGAACCGATGTAAGCATCAACCTCATGGCTGAACAACCAAAAGATTATCTAATCATATTTGAAGCATGAGAACAAACAGAAGAAAAGAGTGGGCGAGAGAGGAGACGAGGTGCTGACCCATCGCAAGCAGTACAAAATGCCTAAACCTCCAAGCTCTCGATCAGACAACCTGCAAAGAAACTGATGGCACGAACGCCGCTGACATCAATCAACCGTCATTTATTGCAATGTCTTCAGTCATGCGGAGGGGGGGGGTTACGGGGACCCCATCCTGGAAGGCGCACCGCACCAACAACAGTCAAACTCTCACGCCCTTCTACCGAGTCATATGTCGTCCACCTCGATGTTCCTGCCAGTCTGCAGAAGGCACAGAGAAAGCACATCTCGGTGAACGCTGTTTCGGCACGCGTAGCACATGGACGAATTACCGTAGTTGATAGAGCTGGATAATTTCCGCGATTGAATTACCTGCTACACAACCAAATAGCCGTTTTCTAATCACCCCGTTACAAATTCGTTGATGCCGTCCGACATCAGCCACACATCGCCTCACATCATTTGTTAACAGAGGCCATTTCGCAACCATGCAACAATACAATCCCTACTGTAGCCTGGTGCACAAGAACCTTGAGACCGATGTGGCTATCAACTATACATCAAGTTCTAATTATACAATGATGCCAGTTGCTCCTATCTATTCAAATGCTGATTAAGAATTACGGGAATCGGTAACCTTTGTCACTGTATGGCTGTCAGGGGGGCGGGATGGCTCAAGTGATTAGAGCGCGAATTTAGTGACTGGAAGGTTCGTGGTTCGAACCCGGTCTCTGCCTTTCGGCTTCCCCTGCCCAGGCTTGGGCAACCTGGCAGTATCACAGCCCTCGTACTTCCTTCGGATGGCATGGCAGCCAGGTACCGAAAGGGTACTGAGGCTGAACATCGTATAGATCACAGTATATTTTATGTCTGAACAGTCGAAATCCACGTACCGAACAAAGCTTTGTGCAAGATAGCAGTATTGGCCTGAGAACTCCAGCTTCAAGGCGAAAGCAATGAAATTTTCAGTGACATTTAATGGGTGTAGATACTTTTAGAGAAGAGATGTCTCTGACTTGAGCACACATGGTTGAATCGGAAAAATTCTGCTGTAAATTGTATCTCTGGAAGGCGTAGAGGCTGAGCACAACTACTACTGGAGCGAAGTTTTCAACGATGAGTTTTCGAAAGGCTATCTTCCAAACTCCACCACTTAAACAAGGTGAGACTAGATTTCAACAATCGAAGGTGGGGAGTGTGTTCTACCTAAATTATCCTTGAAGTTGTATCAGAATCCCGTCTTAAAGTTCCGATGCGATATCAAAATATTGAAAAAATCGTCCAGCTGCGGCACCCTTTCGGTGCCTAGCTGCCATGCCAACGGAAGGAGGCACGGGGGCCGGGATACTGCGAGGTTGCCCCAGCCCAGAGAGCAGCAGTTGAGATGGAGGTTGGGTTCGAACCATAGACCTTCCGGCCCATAGGCTGGCGCCTGAACCACTGAGCTACCTCGATATAGTACGTCACAGCTGCGTCATGGGCTGGAATTGTGCGAGGTTCGCAAGATGGTGGGTAATTCTGCACTTTTCATGTGTGCCTGCATAAGTCCGTGTTAACAGACACTGACAGGGTTCACTGTCCATCAGCACAGATTGGAATCCACCACCGCCCCGAGGGAAGGAATTGATTACCAAAAGTTTTGAACGACGTCGAAAGCTACCATCCAATCACTTTCAATACGACCACAGCAACTGTGTAAAGATTCAAAGCAGAAAATATAAGGGGACCATAGTCGGCAATCCCATGCCTCTTCGTGGATGAGTACTGTACCGATCCCACCAACGAAACCCAGTTGTTACTAACCCCACTGCTGCACATCACTGTGGTCTCCAAAACTGAATATGTCCGCAAAAGCATCTTGCAAAAAAACATACACCCAGTTGCAACAGACTAAAAGTTCCCACCTGTTGTAGTATCCAGTTTCGAGACAGATAGTTCAGGGGCTGAGTTCTGACCGGCAACTGTGAGAAACGTGGCATAGGCTTGGGCTGCGGATGTATACAGACTATACTGGCGTTGGGTGAAGACGATTACGAGATGATGAAGCGAGCGAAGCACCTCTGCTGAAAGCGAGCTGGAGGATGGAAATAAGGACGGCAGCTTTTCGTGCAAATGGTGGGCCAAACGTTCCAAAATCTGAAATGCATGAGTAAGATAAATAAAAGGCAAACAAGTATATATGAAAGGTCGTTTTAGGAGTACAACATTGTGCGAGCGGGACAAACAACCTACATGATAATCATCGGCATTCTCATCGGGACATATCTTCGAAAGACGGAATTCGGACACGTTTCTCAACTTATTCCCTGGTAGATCTTCAGCTGTTTCATCAGCGACCGGTTCGAGCACCAGAAAGCTGGCCAACGCTGCTAGGAGGTGAGGTAGATGAAGATCTATGGAAGGCGACTCCATTTCAGCCTGCGTCGAAGTGGTCAAACGCTGTCGCAATATTACACGTGCAGCTTCACATTCTTCTGCTTCTAGCATATCCATCACAGGATACTTTTGGCAACCTGAAGTGTCCCCAGGCGTTTGCGGGTCAGCAAAGCTGTCCAAAATGATTCTGGTAGCAGAACGAGTCTCCTCAATCTGGAAAGCAACAAAAGATGGATGGAATCTAAAGATCTTACAATGTTGGAAATGAACTGTTTCGGGGTCCGAGAAACCTTGGTTGTCTGAGAATTTTCATTGCACCTGAACGAAATATGCCGGGAAAAAAGTGCTGGGTACACGAACTCTCGGTCAATATCATAGAACGGCCGAGTAGAAAGGAATCCAGGTACATGGGTTTGTGCGACGCTTATGCAAACATAAGCGCATTCTTAGATGGGTTAGCAGCGTTCCAAGTGTTTCCCGGCCACAGTGCACCTTGGGTCTATACCAGTATTAAGAGCTTTGTTAGAATTTCTCCAAGAGACCAGTTGTGCTTTGCTAAGTAAGAGCAGATGCATAGTTGCTCGATTGGCAAATCAGCTTCGGAGACCAGTTACCTATTTCTAAGCAGTTTGCGTGACAGGATAAATAACAAGGTGGAAATTGAATCGTACGATGCAACTTTTCAGTCGGGTTACCAGGTGTTGGATGTTAAAACGTTTTACTCTATTATCTTCCTTCCACTATTGAGAACACAAGAGATGTAACGTAGCAGTTGATCACAGAAGACAAGTGGATGGCATGTGTAGCAACACCTGATCTCCGAGGAGGCTTTTGTAAAGTCACCACAAAACATTAAATCTCAGTGCGGGGAAACACGGTTAGACATTTCCAGAGGTAGTTCTTCTGCGACGTTTTAATTGTAAAAACTAGTGAAAAAACTACTATCCACTATCATTTATATTCTTCACCATACAAGTAGTGATTACCGTTGCTCGGCTACTAAGCAAGCACTAAAAACGGAAGTCGAATTCGGATGAAATCATTGTGAGGAATAAGTTAAAAATAAGAATCATGCTCATATACACATTAACTATATTCATACTTCGGATAAGACAAGGAGTCAGCGTAATGACAGGTTGGACGATCCGCATAGGAAACGATATATTCCTAAGACTTTTGGGTCACACCTAAAACTCAAGCGAACCTTAGATGCGATTACCTCAGGAAATTGCGTCTGAAGACAGCTTCTCATAAACTGCGCCAGTATTTCACGAGCTGGGGATAGCCCAGTGGTTAAGGCATGAACCTACAGACGGTTGTTTGTAAGTTCGTCGTTCGAACCTAGCTTCAGTACATGGACTGCTCCTGTCCAGGTTTGAGCGACCTGACAGTATATCAGCCCTCGTGTTTCCTTCGGTTAGCATGGTGGACGGGCACAGGAAGGGTAACAGCTGAGTGATTATTTATTATTATCAATAAATACAATATTACACATCGCACAAAATTCGTATACAAAGTGTACACACAGCATAAATGTCTAATTGGGGATATCAATACATGGAACTAATTGGCATACATGAATCTGGAGTCAGTGGTTTCCCAACGAGCTACGGGCTAATTGTTAGCCATCAACGCCACGCACACTGTTCCGGTGTAGTCCTGTGTAGCTCACCAACAAAAGATAAAGATTCAACTTTAGAGGCCTTTTGGTGCAAAGCTGCTATGCAACTAGGAGGCGTGAAAGGTGAGATACTGCCAAATTGCACAGGTCTAGACACGAGCAATCGTGCAGAACATAAATCTTCCGGAAAGTAGTTTCGCGCTCTAACCACTGAGCTATCTCGAGCTCGAACCTAGGCGGACATGGGGTTCTAGAACAATTACATAAGCGAACCTACGTATACACGAAAAATAATAAAAGAGCAATGAGCTTACCAGCGACTGACCACGCCCAAAACACCACTCGGCCATACGGAGCCACGCCTTAGTGGATGCTCCCGTTGGAGAAAGTCGTGTGGCCATCATCAGTAAACGGCTGGTCCAAGAAGTACAACCGACCTGCTGAGACGGATTAGTCCTCGGAGCAGGTGTTAGTTCACCCGAGGGAACCAAGGGCAGACCGTTCGCCCAGGGTTCATCGACGAGACGACTGAAGAAATTCAAATGGTGAGCGGTGCTGGTTGTCTTGATCACCTATAATTCAAAAGGGTGTGAATGCCATGAACAGTACTATATGAATGCACACTGAACGCTGACGAGCTGACAAGAGAGCAAGCTAAGTTGGGATGTGCTTAACGCGGAAAGATTGGGATTTAAGGCATCCACCAAAAGATAAAAGGATCACACAGCTCTCGAGCCGAGGAAAATAGGACGCTGCTCGAAGTTTGGACTCCAAAGGCTTAACCCACGATTTGAACTTGAGGTTTCGTGCGTCACTATGGAAAACAGCACAAATTAGCAGTTAGGTTTTGGGAAAACAATTACAACTAGCAGCAGCGAATCTAGATTTACGGGGAACCATTCGGGATCAGCTATGGTCAAGAAGTCTAGGTTTCCTACCAGCCAACTGTTCCCACAAGATGACCATTGATTGACTGTGGCAAGAACCTATGGGGAAAAAAACTGGCTTCACGTATGACCGGCATATTCCATAGAAAAGCTGCACCTATCATTGCCTACGCTTTTTATTTGACGGTCTGTTCTGCGAAAGAGGAGGTGGAATTATCATCCAGGGATGTCTAGTGAGTTGGGAATGTCATGTTATGGAGCGCGACAGTCGGGTCGACCGTGTGCAATTATTATTGTTTAGAAAACCGCGCAAGAACGTACAATGGGAACTCTATATATGCTGGTGATAAGGATTAGGAAGATGTAAAGATTCTCAGGGTTGCATAGGAACTCTTACTTTTGGGGAGAACGGCTGGTCTGAGGCCTGCTGATGTATGATTTCTGCCCACGTTTGTGTTCCCGTAAGAGCCGGTTTCTCCAACCACTCAAATAACCGCAAGGCAACTTCGGTCGAAATATCACAGCGAGCAGCGTGTTGACGAGAATCCTGTGTAACTTCCTCCAACAGAGCGGTTCTTAGGCCTCGGGAAAGTACATCAATAGCGGCAAGTTTATTATTATAACATTCCACTGGGTCATCTGAATCACTTCTGGCCCACAGAAGTTGCGCCAAACAATCAGAAAAACGAAGTCTCTGGATCTGAGACAAGCGACTGGTTTCGCAGAAGATGGCAGTGCGTGTCAGACTGTAAAGTATCTGGAGATTAACTTGGTCCTGGTTTGTGTTCTTTAGTAGGCTCAAAGCCTGGCCTTCACGCAGCAACAAACGTTCGGCAAGCGAATAACTTTCATGGGCACACGCCCAGCGACATGCTTGCAAGCCGGAGTTGATTCGACCCCATTCAACACCACACCCGCGACCGACCAAGTGACGCCACGAACAATCACTCACCGTGTTCAGACAACAGTCGGCCAGTTCACTATCTGTAAGTTGTTGAATAGTGGAACCAAGTAGCACATCTGCCTGAGAGAGCCAGGAACAGAGACTGCGACCGCTAGAAATACCACATTTACAGCCATTCGCAAAATCATTTGCAAAGGATAACGCCATTGCTGACGCAGCTCGGCGTGCATCGGTGACCAGCTGAGACAAGTATCCATCCATTGCATGTGACTCCATGTTTCCTGTTTTGATGCGCATAAAACTGGATGCACTATTGCACAGAAGAGTGTCTAAGTGGTCAGCGAATGCTGACTCGGACCACCGCGTCAAAGAACTACATGCGGATGAATTCCGGCCCGTGACATCTTGGGAGGAGTCTGACGGGGACCAGCTGAGAAACGAATGGGAAATGAAGGCGTAAATTGGAAGGAAATATTCGATAACGGAAGCAACCGAGGCTAGTACACAAAGAGGCTAAAATCACATCTTAATCAACAGAGTTGAATGCACCAACGAAACAAAATTATGCTATTTTGAGGTTTTCCATACCAGCTTCCAATTCAACCCCGCGTTGAGTACGCTCTGAGGTGCACATTACTTGCAAGCATATTGTGCTCGAAATAGACGGAATTTAGTTCACTGCGGAAAAGTCTATGAAGTACTCGTTACCAGGCCGCACACGAAATCAACTACAAAAGCAGAGCTATGGTAGTTGGTGACTCTCGCGCACCGTAGATAGTCACCATCGACACCATGACATCAGTATTCAACACTGATGCTTCACTGCCGTACAACCATGATTTATTTGAAAGCCTTACCGTAAAGAAAAGAATAAAGCTGGATGGGGAAAGGACTTAGTGGTAGCTTACCACAATCATTTCGAGGCGCCTACACCTTCAAGCATCCACTCAGGCGATTTGGATAGGAACCGACAACAAGAACGCCATTGAGATCGGTTGTAGTCCCCAACCAGACGCAGTGGGGATCACGCGGTCCCCATTCTGGAAGGCGAGTAGCATCGACAGCACCCCTATGCCGAGTCAAGGGTTGGCCACTGAGTTGGCCATGGAGAACAGCACTCTCCTCGGCAAACGACGACTAGGCATAAGCAACACAGCTTTTGGTGCTAGGCACATTCTTCAATGGAAGTACCGTAGCACCACCGAAAAATCACTTTCTAAATGCCTCGTTACGGATATGCCGACACCAACCCACACGAGCTATGGTTCTGAGACAACGATTACCGAACACATGAAGACGTCTCACTTCCGCTGCTCAAACAGGCCAAGTCTCATAGCCATACCACAAAACAGCCCGCACTGTAGCTTGATACACACGTCCCTTCAGATTCAAGGGTGCACCACTCTGACGCCATAGGTGTCTCAAATTAGCAAACGCGACCCGGGCCTTGCAGGTTCGTGCATTGACCTCATCAGTCACACTACAATCAGGACTAATGCAACTTTCAAGACACGTAAAACGCTTCAGAACTTTCAGTACCTCTCCCAGGATTATAAGTGGCGCATTCAGTGACTGCACGTCCACGAGCATGACCTTACACTTTGTGGGTGCAAAGGGCATACCAAAGAATGGCATGACTTTTGTCAGTTCAGTCAAAAACACCTGCCCCTTCTCCTTTTCGAAGATGAGAGTGATGTCGTCTGCGTACTCTAGATCGACAAGATTTTCTTCATAGACCATTTGAACACCAGGGTTTTGGAGACCCTTCGGCGTTCGTCTCATTTTATCGATCACGAAGTTAAAAAGGAGTGGAGTGGATAGGGCTGTTTTCACATCATACCCAAAGTCATCGGTGTCTACCCACAGTTTAGTAAGTCACAAAAGACAACTCGAACCTGGAAAATCATTTGGGATCTTCTTAACTATTCCATATGTTATAATACCTACTGATAACGCACCACAAGATCAGGAATGATCAACTATTATCATCATCGACAGCGTGGCATCTATCTTCAACAATAATGCTTCACAACCGTCCAAAGAATTCACTGTATTCACAGACTTCCGGGACATGTCTTGTTGAGCAAGCGCGTCAATAAGAACAGATCTGTCGAACTGAGTCCAATACGCCTCGGAAATTCGGGAATACTAAAACTGTGGGTTGTTAACACGTATGGCGTTGTTCTAGCACCTAACAAAGTGAAGATTTGTTCAAGCATCTCCAGCAGGCTTGAATTCTGCCTGCCGCTCTAAATTAATGGCGTCAATCTCGAAGGAAAATGTGACGAAACCGAGTTCCCAATTACAAGAAACAGGGGCCCCTTGATTCGTTAATAAATGTGAAATGTAAAATGGGATACACAAGAAAGCCAATTTTAACAACTTCACTGCTGTGGATAAAAGCACAACGGAATAAAATCCGGTCGGATAAACAAACCTGGACAATTTTTTTAGAGAATCCAGACGAGTCCATGTGACACGCACGGTAGAGCGAATAGAGTGTACGTCCTGAGACGATGTAACATCTTGTGAATCGATTGACGATCCCATTGTTTGTCGCAAATTCCATGCAGCATCATAATCTCCTACATCCAAGTAGCATTGCAACAACAATTGAATTGCATATGATACACCAGTCTCTGTTCGGCCGTTGAATAAAGCACAATAGTCTATAAATGAAAGGCTACTCTTCAGCTCAAACCATTTGTCCAAGAATCCACGCAGTAACCTCACAGCTTCATCCCAATGTCCACGTGCCAGAGCTGTGGCACCGGCTAACCAACCGAATGGATTGAACAGATAGCCCTGTGTGGATGCCAGTTGTTCAGTCCAACTAGAAAGCAGGCAAAGATAACAAAAAGACGGATCAGTCACCAGAGAAAAACCGGAGGCATAAATTACAAAGAAAATGCTGACCAAAACGCAACAATTACTCATTATCCTGGCATCAGTGAAAAAGAGCATCCCAGGAGCACTTGTTGATGTTCGTGATGCCAAAAATAAGAACAGTTGGAGATAAGTGGTGTTACTCCATCCTTGTGTGAGACAGTAGTCTGCAATGTAGTTCTAATGTTGGCGGTGACATAAGCCCTGCCAAGGCGGACCAGTGAGTTGGTCATTTGGTTCAAAACCAGGTGACGAAGACTGCCTCCGCACAAGAGTCTCACAATGATGAACAACACTTCACTTGATTGGTGGTAAAGTTAGATTACAAATGATTTCTGCACGAAATCAATCATGTCAAATCAGCATATACACATTAAGTGTTCGAAAAGGCATAGTGAACTGGCAGTGAAGCCGACGGTATTCGTGAACTGCATACACAGGCGCATAATGCATCCGTGGACAATAAGCTTCGTCGACCATATAATCGGGTATGCCAAGTTAGGCTGGGATCCATCGAGGCACTTTGAAAATACACGGCATCATAGCACCATCGCCAAGATATATGGAATATAAAAAAGAGGAATGCGACTTACTCTGACAGGGCTTGGAGTTCTTCCCACGCCACAAGATTGGAAAGTCCACGAACTGTATAGACCAGAAGTTGATCGGACAAACCGGTGAAAGATCCCCAAGGGTTGGTATCTTTAGCAGTCACCGATGAGGAAAGCAATTTGTAAGTGTTGTATACGACCGCAGCAGAAGACTCCACGCCGATACACTGCTCCGATACAGAGACAAGAGGCCAGTCTACCGTCAGACGAGCAACTAGACCCCGCACACGGGTAAACCACTGAGAACAGGTAGTAGCGTTAGCTGAGAAAAACGCACAGGCTGGTGACACTGGACGTGGAAGGACCAAAGCGAAACCCTCTGTAGCGTTGGCTATATTTCTTTCCAAAAACCCCAGAAACATTACCAGGAGTTGTGCTTGGTTTAGCTGTCTGCACCATGATTGACGAGCTAAACCATCACTAGAGAGAGTCTCGAAGTTCGGCGGAGGAACTTTTACTATACCGCCTGCTGACCGCTGATCAGGTTGATGACGCATCAGAAAAGCTCGAAGCGATCCTTCAAGCGCGAGGAAGGTCTTCAGCGGACTGACCCAAGGAGCGACCTTTAATTTGTAGTCAACCATTGTCCAAGCAGCATACCAGAAAACAGACTTCACAGCATCAAGTCGGGGAAGTAAACGTCTTCCAGAAATCATATCCGCTGGTAACGGAGACATTAAATAGGCCAGTCGACGAATCCAATCGTAGGGACTGTGGAGCAGCTTCAGGCGACTAGAGTGCTTCGTGCAACTATGAGGGGCGCCGCGGGTGAGAATTCCCAGAATGCCGGCAACCGCGGGTAAACTAGGATAAGCACTAACGGATACAACCAGTCCGGTAAGATTGGAATGTGATTTTGTAGCAGGAGTGACAAGCGCCGTCGCTGAATGATCAGGACGCCGACTAATGAACCAGCTGAGAATTGGTTGAGGTACGCCATTAAACCGAGCGTTTAAACGGGAATCGCTTATTGCCAGCAACAAATCCATTCCAGCCTCACTGATTTGTGCGCAGCCATGGGCGGCGGCTACCTCAGCTAAGCGAACTATGCAGGGACTCACAATTTGACTCCGTTCGACAAAAGAATGAGCGATCACAGTTCGTACACAGAGTAGAAACGTGTTGATGGAAGATGTGTGTGGACATTGTGAATCCAGAATCTTCAGTGCCAGTGTACAGAGATCAGATAACAACACAGAGCGCTGTTCAGCAGACTTGCACTGCTCTATGCTGACTTTCATGAAATGGGCAATCAAGTTTAACTCCAAGGGTGATGGCGTCTGGACCCCGATAAAATCGGAACATCGTCGCAAAAGTTCGGTAGACTGGGACAAAGCAGCCACATCTTGGTCCGTTACGATCGCCAGTAGAGCTATTCGCACACGAACGGGAAGCTTATTCCATATGGAAACACCATCGTGTTCTAAGCCTGAAAATAAGCGAAGTCGGATATTGGTTTTGAAAGCTTTATCATTTGATCTAAGTAGATGGGACAGAAAGGAGAGGCTGAATAAAGCCAGCGACTCCCAACTAGATGGAACCAAAGATGGTCGATCCTCACTGTTTGACGCAAAGAACTGCATAGCCTGCTCCAGATCCAGAAATGTCAGTTGGCCCAACTCCTCCACAAGGTTCGGAAACGATACAAGGTACTTCATCGTTTTCAAGATCATGCAAGAGGGAGGCTCTTGATCTGGTCCACTGCGAATAACTGTTTTGTAGGAATGCAACAGAGAACGCGGGCCGAAGTAAATACGTAGGTACTCTAGTGCAATGACCTGGTTTGAAAACCTCATCATAACCAGACTGATTAGACGCAAGAGCGACCTCAATGTTTCTGGGGTCAAAGATAAATGAGTGAAGTCCAACAAACGGCTTTTTAGATAGTCTGTAACCTGTCGCAGCAGTACGGACACTTTCTCATCGGATCGAATCACACAAGTGAGCAAACACAAAACTGAATTCTCAATACCATCGACGACTGACGAAGATACGTGAAGTGCGCTTGCGCTTGCAACGTGCGAAGGGTGCCACATGACAATCTGGTTGTGCGGCCAAGAACGTAAACATGCATGTGCCGACTTTAACAATTGGAGTAGACGTTCACCCCACTCACAGCGCTCCTGTAAAGATAAGCGGAGTACATGTCCAAGCGAAGCATTCACACCACAAGCAATGAGCCGAACTGAAACACCTTGAGCGATTCCGGCAAGTACGGAAAGGAATAAACGAACGGACGTCAGAGATGCTGTTGGATCGGATAAGGGTTTGACGTCAGTCGGTACAACTTGTATTGTACGACTGTGAAGGGTAGGGCACTCAGATATAGCTGTATTCATTGCACTTTCACTGTCCTCCAAGAGATGGCAAAGCATTTGTCGTATACTTTTTATCAGCAAAGGATTCGACTTGTCCGGAACGGTGGATGCGGGACTAGCAACAATTGAGTTTGCAATCGGGGGCTCAAGCCACCAGTTCGCCAAACCGAAACAAAGTTCACGATGGATGGTATCCAGCTTAATGCCTCGTGGTATGCTGCTTGGATCGACACCCCACCCAACTAGAATGTCAGCTAGGTCCGAAAACCGTGCGGAACATGGTTCAAAAACATCATCCGATGTGGCGTCGACTAAACGTCGCCCAATGAGGCCGACAAAACTGGTCAGGCGAGTCACATTAATTGGCTGATCCAAAGATTCACCCAAACGTACGAGGGTAGATAGAATGGTAGGAGCGAAATTGGCCAGATCCGGAAGCACATTGGTGGCGCAATTAGAAGAATTATTGGAAAGCATACGAGACAAATGAGCCAGGATTCCAGTACGGTACTGTGGATTGTTCTTAGAAATAAGTTTTCGCAAAAGCCTGCAAACGTAGGATGTAGTGGACGACATTGATGTCTGTCCACCGTCCGTCATCGTATTCGACGAGGATTTGTGGTTGCCCAGAGCAGCCATAAGAACGGAGAGATGACTAAGCTGAATGGCAAGTGAAGTTGGACAATGACTTTCGCACATGCATGCTTCAAAAAGGCGCAGATATGGTTCGTTTGTTGAGCCAATGGATAACCCTGTGAAGTGGACATCGTGAGACACACTACTAAGTAAGTTCTTTATCGGCAACGCACTGACTACTTGTGACAAAGCATCCAAACGGTCGTTTACTGGTAAATCAGCTCGAGCGAGCCGTTGAGTCTGCTGTACAATGATTCCAGAGGAGGTCTGCGACAAACCAGGAATTGATGGAAGTCGTCGCGCAAGCTCCCGCTTTCGTCTCGCTAGTTCCAAATCGTAGCTTGAAGACTGGCACTGCAACTGATTCATCAAAGCATGGGAGCTAGTCACAGCACTTTCGTAAGATGACGCCACTACGAAACTGCGTTCCTCAGATGAGTTGGGAATGTTATTTGAAACAGTTGACAGCGTCGGTGCGCCTTGATTATATAACTGGAGTCTAGGTTTTGTCGTGGGTGAATCTGGATGAGTGGATCGCATTCGTGGGAGCAATTCTGGTGGTAGGATTCCTCGATGAACGTATTGGCATATGAATCCCTGAAATAAAAACAACTAAGTGTTGATGGAAAGACGCAAAAGGTACATTAAAAATAGAAAATTTGAGCAACGGCACTGGCGGAGTTAGACTTGAACTGCTGACTCAAACTCAAGTCTGCCATGCTTCTCTCACTGATGTTTGCAAAGTCACGGTCTTTTTGACGGATAATTTGACTAATCCTACGACTGAACTGGCCAGAGTGGTTAGCTCGTGTTTCAGTGTATAGTTATCTGAAGTAAGGCTATGTTTGCGCGTTCGAGGAAGTCAGTGTATATACCTAACATTGGTACCCCATATTATGGCCATGACCAATAAAAATAAAGATGAATATCCTCAAGATTATTGCAAGTTGCCATTTTATTTCACTCTTCAATATATGGACAATGAAGTTGGCATGAGGGTGTTTAACGTGCATTACTCCACCATGAAATCCTGTCACTTAACTAAAACCTTCCCCAGGAAGTACGTAATGCAAAAACCCCCCTACAGAAAGACAGACCCATAAGTGCACCCTATAATAAGGGTGACACTTAAATGCTGCAATTAGTAGTCCGGAATAAATGGCTAGCCGACAAAATCTGTAAAGTACGCACACCCGAATTAGGTCGTAGGCGTCCTGATTCAGTTGGTTCCCAAGCCAATAGACATGTAGATGGGAGAGCAAAGCCCTATTATTCACCGGCGGAAGAAGCGCGAAATCCAGTCTAACGGATGACTAACTGCACCCAAGATCAGTACTAAACACAAAGGACAAAAGTTGCAATATGCTAGTTAGAATGGGAGGCCTCTGGATGTCCTCAAGTCCAGCTTCCGGTAAGGCCTTCATAAGATGGATTCTGGGACGCATGGGACCTACCTTTGATCAGAGACGAAGGCTTTGGGGAGAATTCATCATCGCCGACAGCATAACATCAGTGTACGACATTGAGGCTGCCGTAAGGAGAATTCAGATTTAAGAGTTGCTGGGTCTCCGCGTGAACGAAACTGTGGCAATTAAAACCACTGTACAAGTACGCGGTTATTACAGCTGACAATGATGATGATGGGACCTCACCGAACCGAATGCAAACCCAAAGTAATCATATATGCATGACTGCCACCCATCGTCTACGTGCCGAGTCGAAAATCGACTGAGATGAAACAATAGCCACGCAAAGTAACTGAAGGAAACATTTCTTAATCCGGATGTCCAGACTGTGGTCCACCCCACTGTGCAAGCTCGTGGTTACCGTTCGGTCCCTATTCGACGGCTACCTGACAGCCTTACATCACCATCCTTAACCACTTGGAATCCAATGGCTCACTCACTTCATCTTGCTCACATTGGTCTTTCTCCATTTAAGGAGGAAATAAATTTACTATTCAGGTAAAATCGGTTCTAGGTATCATGCGCGGCCATCCGCTTATTATACATGAATGGCACGGAATTATTTAACCCCTTCCGTGTTTCCCGAAATGAAATTGTTGAAAATCTCATTCTCCTCGATTAAAATATGGATACCACTATTAGACCCATAAAAACTTGAGCTCACCTCATCAAACTGTTTCAGTGTCGCCCCAAGATTGATCAACTTTCGTACGGTATCCCGCATATGAGAATGCAAGGCCAGTGATAACGGTGTTTCGTTTTCCTTAACAAAATAAGACTGAGGAGAGCAGACGTACCGAGGTGACAGGATCAACTACAGCACCGTTGGAGCACAGCATGTCGATTGTAGCCACGTGCCCGCGCTTGGCAGCGAAATGAATAGCACGCCACCCGAGCTAAAAATGTCAACACCGAGGTTATTCGCAACTTACATCAGTTTCTGCATTCACATCGGCCTGATTACTCAAAAACCATCGTACAACTTCCTTGTTGCCGTAGTGAGCCCCAATGATTAAACCTGTCACATTATTGTGCTACAACAATGAAGCTTTAAAGTATTCCAATACTTTCACGTTGTTGAGTACGTAGCTTCCACGACGATCGATATCAGCCACTTCCCTCCGACTCTTCTGAATAGAGGGTAAATGACCCCTTTCTACCACACGAAACCACTCCTGAGTGGTTATACATTTTTCCATAGAAAGGTTAAGTTGCCTCCAAAAGACACTGTCAAAAAATAAGGAATCGAATAAGCCGCCGAGGGAGGTATGTAGGACTGCGGACCATTTGGCGCAAAAAACCCGCGTGCCGAGTTGCACCGTTTTAAACAAAACCATCATTGTTCCATTCTCATAGTGAATTTGCAATCAGAAGTAAAATCTCTTTTGAGTTGTCACTGAAGATAACCCGGAGTGTCCTGTTTGGACTATAGAGAATTCAGTGGGAGGTTCACGGATTCACGGATTGATACACAGGATCGAGGCTTTTGCCCAAGTCTCCNTTCACGGATTGATACACATGATCGAGGCTTTTGCCCAAGTTTCCCGGGTCGGTGTTCTTCTTGTCGGTCAGTGGCTGAAAGGCACAAGTGAAAAAAGGGTGTAGCATTGCTCTTTATGTTCTCAGCGCGGGGTAGTATGCTCGCCAGCGCGAGGATTCGCATAAATAAATGTCTAATAGTGTTTTAAATTGGGTTCGAGAAGGAGCGTGTACAACCGTCGGAGGAAGGTCATTTCACGCAGCTACTACCCGAAATGAAAAAAAGTTTTGTCTAACGGATGTGTGTGCCCTGAGCTTGAAGATTTTCTTACTATGTCCCCGCCGGGTGTTTGCTGGGTCAACGGTAAAAAACCTGTTTGTCAAGCTTTGTTCAAACAGGGCGTAGGTAAGAATTAGGTCCCCTTGGAGGCGACGGTACTCCAGGGGAAATAGATCAAGCGTCGCGAGACGCGTTTCGTAGTCCACGGACTTGAGGCCGGCAACTATTCTCGTGGCGGCCCGCTGGACACGCTCAATGAGGGTAACGTCTTTCGTACGTCCTGAGTAGACAACTTTGTTGGCGTACTCCAGGAGCGGTCTGACGTCTCCCGTAATACGGGAGAAGGTACGTCGGATCATCCGTAAAACGGCGAATGCCTTTTGGGCCGGTTTCTCATGGTGTAGTGCGAAGGACAAGTTTGAGGAGACCCAGATGCCTAAATCTTTTTTGGCATCTATCCTCATGATGTTTTCTGGTCCCTTTTCACCATGCATAACAAAGGCATTCGCTGAATCCCCTCCAAACGACACATGGACGCACTTTTCATCATTCAGAGGAAGGTGCCAGTCCAACGACCACTGCTTGGCAGCGTCTACATCCATTTGGAGGGCGCTGGCACTGTTGGAACTGTTCAACTGAACTAGATAAATGTATATACAGACGAGGCGACCGATGCAAATTTCTCTGAACGAAGTAATCTTTAGCATAAAGTTTTATCATTTGATGGCTTTTATTCGAACTCTAGAAATGTCATAATGCGGCAACGTTGCTCAATATTCGCACAATGCAGTTGATTTCTCAAAAGCTACGACATCTTCAGAGCCACCAATTCATAGTGGGAAATGTCTATGAATGATGATGATGATAATAATAATAATAATAATAATAATTCGACAAGTTATTCACATTAGTGATACTTTAAGTGAGCGAATCTTCAAGGTCATCGATAGCCACCGACTTCGTTCACGATGCCACGGTACGTTCGAAATCGATTCTTTTTTCCCTCGTGCAGAATTGTGGATGAATTCGTTCACCCTTCAATATATATACAGGGTGCATAGTATCATTTGTTGGATCTCCTCACTCTAAGATAAAATTTACGTGGTGACCTCTGTCATTTTGCTCTCCGTTCCTATTTTGCACACAGTCTCCTTCATAGCATTAGTGAATACACGCTGCTCTCTGCAGCAAGTGATAGACCACAACAGATGTTGGCGAAACGGCTGTACGTCAAACGTAAGGCGCGGTATGAAGTGCAACACCTGAAAGGTCTGGTGGCACTTTAAACACACGGGTTTACAGGACGACTAGGTATGCCACCTAGCTAACTCTCCTGACCCATTTTTCTGCGCCAGCTGCGTCCGCATTGAGGGTACGATGCATGAGGCAACGAGGAGGAGGGCCACTTAAAACGAAGCCAAATCCCCATGCCGAATCAGAAAGACCACTGTGAGCGTTTTGCTTTAATCGGGAATTACAATTTCTCAGCCGGACTGTGTCAGGCATGCGGAGACAAGCGGCGAAGCCTACTGTGTGATGATCTCGACATCGGAGAACGCTGCGAGAACCGTAAGACCACTGCGAATATCAAACTGTCGATCTCCGGCGTCAGTTCGTTCACAGTGGCGTCTTCGATTGTGTGCGAACTCACTGCCCAGGACCCTCACAGCCAAAGCCACAAAATTGACCACAGCGAACCTAATCTTTGATCAACAGCAAATCTGGTCGTCCAAAACGCTGTAGTGAACGAGTTACAAGTCGGTTGAAATTTCGCCTCCGGGAAAAAATTTCACTCCACAAAGGTAAAGGGCCTGCGCAAAATGGGCACTCACCGGGCGAAATAAACTCTGCAAATGATGAGCGTTTCTCGAAACCGCCGTCACGGGAAGCAGACAAGCATGCCTCAGATGCCCCTTTAAAGCCTTGGGATTAAACCCGGCATACAGCTATTAAGTCTGCTAACCACCCTAGTTCCACATCTCTCGGCTTCTCACCTTCTAATGGAGGAGAGGCAAACTGCCCCATCGTATCCAACAAACTTTTTGATGTTTACCAGCCAGATTATCTTGGAAGACCGCCGATAATCGCACTCACAGAGACCTGGCTCACACCAGATGTCGCTGACGCGGTGATCTCGGTAGACGGCTATTCGGTTTTTCGAACTAATTCAAAGCGAGGAAGAGCTGGTGGGGTTGCTTTGTACTCACAAGAGGCCCTGCCCATCCCGATTCTCCTCTTTGGCAGTACTGCAAATTTTTCCGATGCACTGTGGATCCAAATCCCGCAGCAGGAGTCCCATTCCCTCTTTGATGTGCGTCCTCGCGCCGGCAAGCTTTCCGCCTGTGGTCTGAACTTTGGTAGAGGTCTTACGCCGGTTTTTCGCCCGCGCATTTCAGGTGTACGGCAGCCGCATAGCGATAAGCACAAAACCGACCCGGGCAACTTGGGCGAAAGGCTTGATCCTGTGTACCCGTGGAATCGTGAATATCAAAGTGTATTTGCTGGGCCCTCGACAAGCGCCATTCCGAATTAACATAGCGGAATCCGGAATAATTTTTCCCGGGCGAATCGTTCCGGGTTAATAAAAATTAGGATCTGCAGTTGTTGCAGATGTTTGTTGTTAAACAGCAGAGCGCCCCATCATGCCGGCGGCTAGACGCACAATGTATTTTTCTGCAAAACGCCCGCGGACGAAATAAAAACTTTAACGTCAAAATGTTGCACTTCTTTGCATATATGCGTAGACTGAAAACCCCCCTCATCTGCCGTTATTTTTTTGCGATTTGTTTTAATCGATGACATTTGAAAATTATTGGCGCACATTCGG